ATGTTTATATATATTTTTTTGCCACACAGACTGTGATGAGACGTTAAGAAATGCGACTTTCAGACAGAGTTTCACAAGCCAGGTTAAATACTACTATCTGTTAGTCTGAGCACCAATGAGGCATCTTCTAATGTTTGAGCGCTAAATCCCTCTTCCTTGTGGCTTATGCTAAGCTCGTCTGCTATGTCTCAAAGAAACACAACTCTGTCTCTTGATGTAGGAATTGAGAACACCAGGAATGATGACGGCAAAGTCTCCCACACAGTCTGATGTGACGGGAGCTTAATTGAAGTAAGGAGATTACAATACTGCTTTTTAAAGACCACGTCATTTATCTAAAATACAAACTGAACCAGCAGGTGACTGACGCTAAGGTTATTAGCAGTGGTTTGGGCTAATTTGTTATTACATTGTGTGTAGTTTAAGTCTGTATTGCAAAATACAGACATACTGTACAGTACAATTAAAAGATTAAAAAAAAAATCTGGACTACCATCTCAATGTTTGCTGCTTTACATCCAAAGTGGTATGTGCAACATGAGTCAATGACATAAAGCTATTAATGTATTCAGAAATACATTAAAAATGCAATTCCTACATATAATGACTTGAAAGTAAAATTCATTTGATCTATTTTGAGGCATAAAATTGAAAATACATGCATAAAAAAAGTTAATAAAAATGAAATAAAAAAACCTGGGCATAACCTTATATTATTATCATTTAACAATATGTATATACATGTTCTACTGTTTGAGCTATAGAGATTATAATGAAATATTACAAATATTTTTGAGATTAAAAATGTATGCAATAAAAGTTTGCCAAAATATTGTAAAAATGTGAACAGGAAAAAATATTAACAGGAAATTATATCATAGAGAGGTCTGTGACATTTCTCATAAAGTCACAATTATGCAAAATAAAGTCTTATCAAGAGAAATAATGTTGCAATTATTATAACAACTGTAAATCAATTTATTGTAATTTCGAATACAGTATATTGTAACTGTGACTTAATTTCTCAATTGCAACTATTTCTCGTAACTGCGACTATTTCATAATTGCAACATTATTTCTTGTTATTGCAATAACTATTTAACTGTGACTTCATTTCTCATAAATGAGACTTTATTTCTCGCAATTGCAACCATGTTTCATAATTGCGACATTATTTCTCATAACTGCAACTTTATTATAACTGTTTATTAATTTCCTGTTATTGTGACTAAAGTATCTTGTAACTGTGGTTTCATTTCTCATAATTACAACTTCATTACTCATAACCGAGAATTTATTTCTCATAATTGTGACATTATTTCCCATAATTTCTATAATATAAAATTATGTCACAGAGAGGTCAATAAATCATTTAAAATATTATAAATGGACTTCTGTATGAAAAGGCAAAGTCAGTCTGGCTAGTTATATGTCATGTGGTACAAAAATGTATACTTTTTGTAAGAAAAAAAAAAAAACTTCCTTGAAAAATACATAAAAAAAAAAACTGTGCACAAAACCAAATAAAACCAATGTGAATACAGATATTACATTTCTAAGAAATTGCACATGTTTTAAACAAATTTTTTTCAGGTCATAATGCACACAATAAATGGCAAATGTAAATCTGCCAGCTTCAAACCTGTGTAATGTAATATCACTGTTGCTTTGGATAAAAGTGTCTACCAAATATCTAAATGTATTAAAATGTACAAATTCTATTCTTCCTCACTTTAAATCCCAAGATCTCAAGGATGGCAATCCCAAATGAGGTTGTTACCAGACATACTTTCTTTTTCTTCCCCTAACAAGGTCAGCTACAATATTTGCATATATAAAATCTGAATCGAAAATATAGAGTCATATGGCAAAATATCAAACTCCATTTATTTCCTGGGTGAAGTTTCTATGTATTACTGACACGGGCCCTGCGAGTGGGCGTCAATTCTTGATTGAAGTCCTGCTGTGGCTGAAAGTTCACACTCGCAAATATGTTTTTCCATCATTACAGCCTTCCACATCCTCTCTCGGGTTCTCAGCACGGCAGGGAATGACCTATATAGTGCCATGTGATATTTTAACAGGACAGATCAGATGCTGAAAAACTAAACCACTTTACTTGTCCGTATCCATTAGGAATGTTTGTTCATGTGCCCAAAAATCTAGGCGTCAAGGCTGTCCTGGCATCATAAACTCTGTTTTACGATGTATGCGAGCAATGCATGGAATTCAAGAGGTCATCTTGTTGGGTTTAAAGCTTTGGTGGATGTAATTAACTGCCAGAGGCACAATCATGGAGGCAGAAGTGGGGCAAGAATTGGACTAGATTGTGACTGATGGGCATCTATGGTTCTGGATGATTGAAACAGAAATAACAAGAACTTCAAAGTCAAAGTAAAAACGACCATCTGAAGTTTAAATGTCTTCTATAATTGGAGTTGCACAGTCATTGGTTGCATCCATGAAGTCATGCAACTATAGAAAATATTCATATGCTCAGTGATAATATGCTATTGATTAGATTCTGTGTTCCATTCAAAGAGGGATGTGCAATATCAAAGTTTCTTCATCAGAGCAGATTTAGTAAAATGTAGCATTAGATCACTTACTCAGCAGTGGATGCTCTGCAGTGAATGGGTGCCGTCAGAATGAGAGTCCAAACAGCTGATAAAAACATCACAATAATCCACACCACCCCAGACCATCAGTTAATGACTTGTGATGTGATAAATTGTGTGTTTGTAAGAAACAAATCTATCGTTAAGATATTTTACGTAACGTCAAACTGTTGCTTCTGGCTAAAATATGAGTCCGTAATATATAATATTGCTTTCTCCAGAGACAAAGTCGTTTTGTCTGAATCAGGAGAAACATTTGTGCAGATTAAGCACTGTATACAAGCAAAAACAGTAAAAAAAAAAAAAAAAAAGTTGTAAAAAAATATTTCAGTGGATTTTAATGTGAAAGGACAGTGGGTAATGGCCTTTTTTAATGCAGGAAGTGTTATTATGGATTATGGACTCATATTTGGTCCAAAAGTGATGGTTTAAAATTAAGAAAGTCTTAATAATAAATTAGTTTCTTACAAACACACAGCTTTTCACTTCACAAGACATTAATTGAGGGACTGGAGTGGGGTGGATTACTGTGATGTTTTTATAAGCTGTTTGGACTCTCATTCTGACGGCACCCATTCAAGTGATGTAATGCTACATATCATATAGTATATCATATTGTAAAATGTTGCAAAATGTCATGTGGTACAACTCCTCAATTGCATATTTATCATTTAATAAATCATAATATTTGTCAAATAAAAATGGATTACACTCATGTAAAAACTTTCAAGTCAAAGCATCTGAAGTTTCAACATCTTCTATAATTGAAGTCGCCCAATCATTGAGTGCATCCATAAAGCTGCGCAATTAGAAAATGTTTATGAGCTCAGTGATAATAAGCCATTGATTAGATTATCTGACAACGGCGCTGCAAACAGTCCGAGATGACATGCAGGCATCTAATTCAGGCTTTTAGTGCAATGTGGTCTGCACGGCATTTGCATATAAACGAGGATGAAAATATCCAGTCTGGTTCTTCGTCCACCGCGTCTTGGTTTGATATAGAGCCTCTGTCTGTTGGTTTTCTAGGGTGAGCAGGTCTCCGTGATTAAATCTAAAGCTCGTGGGGCGACATCAAGCAGAACGAGAAGCTAATTAAATGAGATGACAGCAGAAGAGATGGCAGAGCAGTCTCCATCCATGTTTTCTCATCCTCATTTGTGCATCCGAAGAGGATACATGTGAGGTTTATATCACTATAATTAGTGAGATTATTATGACCTCCTTTGGAACAAACAGGGAAACAAAAGGTTGCCATAGACTTCGCAAAAAGTACTGTGGTTCAGTATGATGGTTTTGAATGATTACCATGATCATATACCATTGTGTTTACGTATATGGTACTCCACGACCATAATAAAATCGATTTGCTTAATGACAAATAAGACTATCCAAGTCTGTCCAAGATAAAATGAAAAAGAAAGGTTAAAAAAATTTAGTTCAAAATGCATGCACAGAGTTCTTAGAAATGTAATTTTTGTATTCATGTTTTCTTATGATTTAGTACAAACTCTTTTCAAGAAAAGTTTAAATGACTTAATGTCACATGGTGTAACCCTCAATTCACCTTGAATACATGCTATCTTAATTATTATTTCCCCAGGGAAAACAAACAAACAAACATTTAAATATATTCTTAATTTTGTTTTTTTTGTAATTTTTGTATTCATGGTTTCTTATGATTTTGTAAAATAGGAAATCGTATGATTTTAATGAGAAAAGAACAATAAATAATAATAATAAAAGATTAATAATTAAATAATGAAATTAATAATAAAATAATAACAAAAGGACAGTTATATCACTCTGACCCCCATGCCAAAAAAATAAAATAAAACATTTTATTTCAAAATTTAAAAACATGTTCATCATAGAAGACATGCTAAAATCTAGCGTAGCGTTAGTTCTGGCAGGTCACGTTAGTCAAGCTCGCATCAGCTGACTCTCAGCTGATCCCCATCTACCTATGGGAATACGACACCTATCTAAGCATTCATATATAATGTCCCTCAGTATTATCAGCGTAATCGCTGCTCTCCCTGCTCTCATCAATGCTAGGCTGCATGGATGCGCAGGGAGTTCTTGCCCAGAACAGAACCATACCACCAATCCAAACTGTATGCTAATTGTCAATCATCTTTGACGATAGTGGTCCTGACAGAACTTACATTTTTTTAAAGGATTTCAGAATATATTAACAGATATGGACAAAAATCATGAGGGTTTTGTCTTTGACCCGTATGTTACATTCACAGACAGTTTTCCAGACATAGTTTAGGTCCATTCCAAAATCAGATTCAACCATCTGTTGAAGACGTCTTAGATTAAGCCTAATTCATGTCTGGAAAAGCGCAGCAGTGTCCACATGTTCCCGTCTCTCACCAGTGTCCTGGGGTTTCCCGGGCAGGCGTGTTTGGTGTGCGGGGAGGATCTCTAGTTTGGTCTGATCAGTAGTGCTGGCCAGCAGCTGCGTGGCCTCCAGGACGGAGCAGTGCTCTGTGCTCGTGCCGTCTATAGACAAGATATGATCACCCACGTGTAACGCTCCGGACCTGAGACGCAAACAGAGAACTGCTAGAACTGTCATAAATGTGGGACGTGTCAAAAACAACATCAAAACTCACCCAAATTACCATAATAATGAATCTGAGTGCTCTATTTCCCTCAGAAATTTGTGAAATATATGGAAAAAAAAGAAGTAGAGGATGGTGAATTATGTTTCATGTTGTCTTTAAAATGTAATAAAAAACAATAATATATAAAATGCAAAAATGAATTCTACTGCTAACAAAAACATGCATCTTAATAACTATAACAGATTCCAATTACATATTTCAGAGGGATCAACAGTATTCGACAGCTGATCAATTTAAATGTAAGTTAAATGTGACTGCACAGCTAAGAACTATGGAGATTATTAGAAGAATTTCTTTGGAAATTGTTAATAAAATCATTAATACGAATCATAAGAGAGAATCATATAATTTGTAAAAGAATGTTTTTTTTTCCTTAAAAAATTTACATCCTTCACAAAAATCGTTTTGTGAACAATAAAAAAAAAAGAATATAATTTACAAAAAAAAAAAAAGTATTTCAAAAACAATATGTGTAAAAGTAAAAAAATAGTTTTATGACATAAAAATAAAGTTGTTTGGGTATAAATGGTTTTTCAAAAAATTTATGTAATAGGAAGATAGTCTGAAGAACCTTCTGAACTGTCTTCTGAACAATTAAGGTAAAAAAAACAATAAAATGATTTTACAAACAATTTACTGTACATGAAATTAAACGCATTTATTCAAAAATAGTTAATTTACAATCAATTTAGATCAAAATCAAATCAGTTGTGCAACAATGGTTTAACAAAGATAAAATCCTTTATGTAAGATTTGTTTTTACGGACAACTTTTGTAGGAAAACTTAAAAACATTTAAGTAAAAATGACTGTTAACTACTTAAGAAAAAAGAAAATCATTTGCAGAAGAATTTTGTAACAAACAAATTTTTAATACATTAAAAAATACAATTACATAAAAAAATAGTTAAAGAAAAATTCACATAAAAAATACAGAAATAAAATCTACTGTAGGAATGTTTTTATGAAAAATTTGTGTTGGATGATTTAAAGCTTTGTGAACAATTTTGTTATGGTTTAGTAATGGTTTTTCAAACAATTTATGTGAAAAGAAATGTAAAAAAAAAATGTTATTATGTAGAAATAGTTTGAATAAATTACTTAAAAATAAAAATAATTTCTGTGAAAATGGTTTTACAAACATTTTTTTATGAGAAGAAAGAAAATCATTTACAGAAGCATGGTTTTACTAAAATGTACCTAAAATTTTAGGTAAGTAGTAAAACGATTTACATGAGGTCTGATTTACAAATAACTTAAAAAACAAAATTATGTAAAAAATATTTTTACACACTATTCACAGTTCATATAATTTACCCAATTTACTTAACTGGCATCAGTGACAAAACTTTGGTTTTTGCAGAAATCCTGTATAATACTGCTTGATGATTTGTGTAGTTTTTCATGAAAACATACAATTTTGGTTGTTTTTCCAAGCAATTTGCATAAGAAAATTGCTTAAAAGTGGTTTTACAATTTACACAGTAGTCTGTTGTGCTGGTGTTTAATGAATGAGGCTCATTGAGTGTGTACCTGTCCACCACACTGGCGGGTTTGATCTTGTCGATGACGATGGCCTGTTTGTTCCTGTGCATGGCAGTGGTCAGAGTGATTCCCAGATTGGCTCCAGGCGCCTTGGCAATCTCCACCAGCAGAGGACCTGAAGCGTTTGTCACCGAGTCTGAGGGCAGGTGATAAGGACAGACAAGGACAGCACTGTTATGCTGTGATTTCTAAATGGATCGTTTCCTGCAGCTTACATTCAATCCAGAGTTTTTTTTTTTTTTAGTTTTGAGCGCTGAAAGTTTATTTCAGACCTCCATGTTCTAGGATATGACCCATATAACTCTACGAGGAGAACAACAGTGGGTGTTATGCTAATTGTAGCTAGCATAAATTAGCTTAACAGTACTAGTTAAGGTGTGAGGGTTGTTTCTCCGCTCTTGAAGGTCAACAACCTGCTGTTCATCCAGATGAAACAGTGAAGAAAGAGCAGAGACCACTGGAAAAAAGTGCTGTGCTTCAGGAAAATTTTGTACAAAAGGACAAGCACTCGAAAAGTAGTTTGATTACCCCTCATTATGCATTCGGGTCCATTTTGACCCGGAAGAGATACATAAACATTTAAAAAAAAAGTTTTCAGTAAGGAAAACAAACTTGCTTTAAGACCCTCAAAATACACTTTATTTATTTATTTATTTATTTATTTATTTATTTATGTATTTATTTATTTATTTATTTATTTATTTATTTATTTATGTATTTATTTATTTATTCATTTATTTATTTAATTAATATATATTTTTTCCCTTAGGTAATATCCAGGTATGTATGGAATACCATTAGTGTCAAAAATACTTTTTGTAAAATTATCTATGAAGTTACATCAATGTCAAAAAACTTTTGTAAAACATATCTAGCCTTGTTAAACATGACTTTAAAGGCCTACTGATGAACTATTGCAGCATGAATAATTGATCACTTTTTTAATCTGACAGTAAAGGTTTATGCAAGTCAAGTTAAATGTATTTTGTCTGAAAACTTTTTGTTTTTAAAAATAAATCACAAAATTCACAAGTTTCACAAATTTTGACTGTTTTCACGCAATCATGAGTTATAAATTCAAAGGAATTTAATTCCATTCGTTCCAATGGGATTAATACTGGTAATTCTCAGAGTAAATGTTTTTATAAATTACATACAAGTATATATTGAAATAAAATTTCTCATCAAAACTGAAAAATGTATTTTGCATATTTTGATTTTGTGTGTGTGTGGTTCATAACATTTCTAATTTTTTAATTAATAAAAAAGTGTAAATGCAGTTATGCTAATAACATACTAATAACATGGTAATGAGATGGTCAGTCAAAACTTTTTTTTTTCACTTTCCCTCATTAATGTGAAGTTGTTGATCAGACACAATTTGGTTTTAATTGAAAAAATAATAATAAAATTAAGTTAATGAAATTATGATTCTTCGAGTCCAAACTGGCCCAGAATGTGAAAATGGTTCACAGATTTTGAAGGCATTATGAGGGTTAATTCATCATTTCTTTTCAAAGTGCAACATACAAAACAAATGGCACGTTAATCCACTGGGACGTGTTGAATTTTCATTCTGTCAACATATAAAACAAGCGCAACTGAAGTAACTCACCCATGATGGAGACATCGTACTCGATCTGGAGCAGAGCCTCCTGGCCACACTGAGTCAGACCAGTAAGAGCATCACTGAGAGTGGCACTGTGTAAAACCACACCATCCACACTTAAGATCCGATCCCCTGCTTTTAGAGTCCCTTCTCTGCACAAGAACATATGCGGAACAGTCATATTATTAATGAAATGTATAACACAAGTACACGCTTTCCTGTTTAAAAGTTTGGCATCAGCAAGATTTTTATTTAAATAAATGAATACCTTTATTAAGAAATGATTCATTAAATCGATCAAAAGTGATAGTTATTATATTTTATATAAATTCTGATGTTTCTTAAATAATGGTTTCTGAAAAGTCAGCTTTTCCATCAGAGCAATAAATTACATTTTAAAATATAATAAAGTAGAAAACAGTTATTGTCATATTTAAACTAGTTAAATTGTAATAATAGTGTCAGTAGTGTCATTTTTCAATAACTTATTTGAATAAAAATGAGCTTTTATATAAATCATATCTATAAATCTAGTACAAATTGGAAAACCACATTTTATCATGGCATAATTTCAGATATATTTTCAATAGAATTTATATTATTTCAGTGACACTTTACAATAAGATTTCATTTGTTACCATTAGTTAATTCATTAACTAACATGAACTAACAATGAGCAATTTTTTTACAGTATTATCCTTTTTAATGTAAGTTAATAAAAATGGTAAAGCTAGTTCACATTGCATTAACTTATGTTAAAAGTACAACTTTTGAATTTAAAATGTTTTATCTTTTAACTAATATTAATAATAAATGCTTTATTTTTATAGTATTTTTCATTGATATTTCATGTCAACTAATGCAAATGAAACTTTTAGAGTAAGTTTATAAATAATTTTGAATTAATATATTTAAGCTTTCAAAATATCTTTTTGCACTTAGTCCATGAATTTTTGGTATTTTTGAAGGCAACATAAGGTTGATGTCTTATTATGCTGCCTAGGTAGTCAGCTTCTTTAAAATATTATTGATATTTCACAATAATGATTAATGCTACATGTGAGAGGACCTGTTTGAGAGCACTCTATTTTCTTCATGAAACGTCTGGGGGCCTTCAGGAAAGACAACGCATACAATTTCCACCCGTCAATCAAGGCAGTCTTTGTCTCTAACATCAAAGGGGTTTTACTGAAGATGTTCTCTCTGTAGACACATATGTTTATTTATTTTTCTCTTTTGGCAGGTTGCGTTATGCTGATATAAGTAGGGAAAGTGGTTGGTAAGAGAGGCATGGAAAAATCTTAAAACTAAGAATAATAACTAGCCGTCTAAGCTGAGAGGGAAATCTCTGGCCTACTTTCTGGATTTAGAAAAAATGCATATAGTGTGTTGAGACATGGAAGCGACCTCCAAACATGGAAGATTGCTTATACATTTTGTTCATTTAAAGTCAAGTTCACCTATAAAGTTTAACACCAACAAAATGAATAGTTGTGTTTTCAGTAAGCATTAGGGCTTTCCTCGACTAAGCATTTTTCTGGTCGACTAGTAGTCGTTCATTTGAAGCATTAGTCGACTAATCGCACGCTTATTAATAAACCATTTAAATCATTATAATGAGCCTTTAATTGCCTACATAGCCTAATAAGCGCTCAAGTACACGCATAAAGCTTGCCACAGCACACCGGCAGAAGTAATGATTATGAATATGTCAGTGAAAAACAGTAAGGAGACTGCATTAACATTTTAATAATTTGATAAACTAGTGCTTTCTTTGTTTTCAGCTGCAGAGATAAAGTCGCCACCTCGTCATCTCCGCAGTAGTGATGCGCCTGTATGCATGTTTCATACAGATTACATAATCTGACAATTTGTTTTCCATTTGAATTGTTTCATTTTAAAGTAGACATTTTTAGATATAGATATATTTTTAATGTCTGTAAGGCAACGATATACACGGAGTTTAGCGCTCAAGTTCACAGACCGAGACGGCAGAAAGCGCATCCTGTTTGCTTTCACATAAGCGCGGTATTGTGCTCACACAAATACACACACAAATAAAAAGAAAAAAAGAAAAAAAAAAGAGTATTTTAAGATCAAGTGAGCACACCGGCACCTCCATCTGTCCTGCAGTGAGCTACTGTTCAGCTTCCACATTCCGCACAAACACTTGAACAGAACATATTTCTCCAGGTTAACATTAGATTGAGCGGCCATGTAAAGTTGCTAATAGGCTACTTACATATTTCAGATGATAAGCCATATTTGAGGTCGATGAATGATAGACGATAGTCCTGATGATAATGATAGTCCTGCCCGATGTACTGTATTACCAAAGCGACTAATACAATTTTGGTCGACCAAGCTTCTTCTGGTCGACTAACGATTAGTCGACTCTTAGGGGGCAGCCCTAGTAAGCATGCTAAGCTAACATCAATTAGCCTGCTAAGCTAACATTCTGTCCTGCATTCCCTGCAGTTGGCATGGTAATCAATTAGCCTACTAAGCTAACAAATCCAGTGCAAGCTATCTGGCAAATATGTTCTAAAAGCTGCTTTATTCTACTTTAGATGGGTAGCCACTCATGGTGGCGGCCATTTTGAGATCACATGACCTGCCAAATACTTCTCATTTTATCTTAGTGACTCCTCTATTACTGGACACTTTTGATGATTAAATGAATCGTAGACAATGAGTCACTGAACAAAACAGCATCAGTGAAAAAAAAAAGTTTTTGCATAAACTTCAAATGCCTCATTTTGCGTTGTGCACTACCTGTCAGCAGGACCACCTGGTCGGACGTGTGTGACCACCAAAGGACGAGATCTGTGCCAGTCCTCATGGGATCCACCTGTATTATAACACACACACACACACACACATATATACACATCTGCAACTATTGATTTTAGGAATATTACAAAAAGGATTAAAATAAATAAATAAAATAAAATGAGTGGCAACAAACCCAAACTCACCTCGCATAACAAAGCCGAAACTGTTGCCCTCTTTCTGCAAACAGATCTCGATTGTCTTGGAAATAACACCTGAGGTACTATCTGGCGCTAAGAGGGACAACAGAGACAGTAGAGAGGCAATAGCATCTCTAAATCAGCATCTTTTACTGGGCGAACGGCCATATCTGGCGGACAATCAGATAAATAAACCCAGATGCAAACTGACGTTCAGCAGAAGGTCAGCCAGAAACACTGAGCTTATAAACCAGGCAATTTATCTGTCATGCACAAGACAGACTGGCTAACTATCGCAATATATCACCACACATGCCAAACTAAGCCAATGAGAGACAATCACCTCGATCCATTATAATGAGAGTGCATGGATGTGCAAATTTCAGTGTTGTTAAATTAACTAGAGGTCGATTAAATATATATATATATATAAATATTGTATATATGTATTGTTTACAAGGTTGATGATAGATTTTGGATGATTTTGTAAAACCTTTAAAGATTATCAGCCGGTAAACTGATGACAATCTCCAACTGACCAAACATCTGCCAATGAATCAGCCTGGTGTGCTTTTCCCAAAAGCACTGTTAGCCAACTATGGTCACAATTTTGATCTTTATCAACATATATTTATGATTTGCTATTTCCTAATACCATAGTTCCAACAAACATTCTCAAAAAACACAGCAAAGCTGGGTATTTGGAACAACAGCTTTTGACCTATGGTTAGAAGCATATTTTCTTGTTAGTATTAGCTAACTATGGTCGCAACTTCCATCATTACTAACATACTTAATGATTCTGTGTTTCGCAAACCCTAGTTCCAATTAACATTCACAAACATCATCGCAAAGCTGTGTGGTTGGAGCTACAGCTCTGTTAGTATTAGTGAACTAAAATCGCAAATTCGGTCATTACCAGCATAGTTCTACGATTTGCTGTTTCCCGAAATCATAGTTCCAACGAACATTCATAAACAGCATTGTAAAGTTGTGTGGTTGGAACTACAGCTTTCATCCTGTTATTAGAAGCATAGTTTCTTGTTAGTATTAGCTAACTACAATCGCAAATTTGGTTGTTACCAAGATAGTTCTACGATTTTCTGTTTCCCGAAATCATAGTTCCAACGAACATTTGTAAGACGCATTGTAAAGTTTTGTGGTTGGAGCTATAGCTCTCGTCCTCGCATAGTTTCTTGTTAGTATTAGCTAACTATGATCGCAAATTTTGTCATTACCAACATAGCTCTACAATTAAAAAAAAAAATCCAAAGTTCCAACAAACATTCGTAAACAGCATTGTAAAATTATGTGGTTGGAACTACAGCTCTTGACCTGTGGTTAGAAGCAGAGTTTCTTGTTAGTATTAGCTAACTATGGTCGCAACTTCATAATTTCCAACATAGTTGTACGATTTGCTGTTTCCCGGAAACATAGTTCCAACAAACATTTGCCAACAGCATCGTAAAGTTGTGTGGTTGGAACTACAGCTCTTGTCCTGTTATTAGAAGCATAGTTTCTGGTCAGTATTAGCTAACTATAATTGCACATTTGGTCGTTACCAACATAGTTCTACGATTTGATATTTCCCTAAATCATAGTTCCAACATTCACATCAGTATCAAAAACTTCTGTGGTTGGAACTACAGCTCTTGACCTGTGGTTAGAAGCATAGTTTCATTTTAGTACTAGCCAACTATGGTTGCCATCGTTACCAACATAGTTCAACAATTCACTGTTTCCCGAAATTACAGTTTCAACGAACATTCGCAAAGTTGTTTGGATGGATCTACAATTCTTGACCTATGGTTAGAAGTATAGTTTCTTGTTAGTATTAGCCAACCATGGTTGTAAGTTCCGACATTACCAACATAGTTCAAAGATTTGGTGTTTCCCACAGTTCCAGCAAACATTCACAAACATTTGAAAAGCTGTGCGATTTGAACAACAGATCTTGACTTGTGGTTAGAAGCATAGTTTCTTGATAGTGTGACATGTGGACAACGGATGTGCCACAAAGATACTATGATTTTGGAAAACAGACGGCTAGCTAGTTGATTGCTCCAACTATGCATCATACAAGAGTAGTTAAGCAGCAAATCATGTTGATGTACAGTATGGCAAACAAACCCCTGGGTGGTGTATAGTCCATCACCAATATCATGGTATTGCATTTGTCAAAACCAATCAATGGCGTGAATTCTGGGCATGACTATCTATTCGTCTGACCAATGGTAAATGGGAGTTAAGTGTGTTATTTCGGGGCCCCTTAACAACAGAACGGCAAAAATAATATATTCAGCCAATTGGTAAAGCTATAATGTTGCTATGTCCGCCACTCAAACCAAAATAGTAATGTTTTAATAGCTTTTCGAAATAACCGCCTGGCTTACTTGTCCCTGCATATTAAGTTGAAATAGGAAAAAATTATTTTAGCAGCCAAAAATGACACACAGCAGCAATAAACATGCAGCCATACATTCTGCATTACTGTGTATAATTATATGTGACCCTGGACCACAAAACCAGTCATAAGGGTCAATTTTTCAAAATTGAGATTTATACATCATCTGAAATCTGAATAAATAAGCTTTCCATTGATGTATGGTTTGTTAGGATAGGACAATATTTGGCCGAGATACAACTATTTGAAAATCTGGAATCTGAGGGTGCAAAAAAATATATATACAAGCTGAAGTGGACTTACTGACACAAAAATACATTTTCACGATGATATTCACTCATGTGGTCTGAGATTGGCTCAGATTGGTTCCTATTGGTACATAGGAACATGCCACAAGACAGGCAAAAGTCAGAATACTCAACTTCCTACCAGGTGAAGGCAGTTCATACTCCACTTCCAGCACGACACGCTCGCCTATGTTCTTCAGCAGACTGATGATCTCATCATGACGCAGCTTGGTCAGGTTGATGCCATTGACTGACTTGATGTAGTCGCCCACATTGAGCTGATCACTCCTGAGACACATCAAAATGTAACTCAATCACAGAATAATACTTAGGATAATGGGTTTGCTCAAATGCCTAACCCTAATTAGCAACAGTGAGACTTGCTTTGGCAAAGGAAACATTTTTATATTGTAACTACTGAAAAGAGAGTAATTAAACAGTTTAACTAAAATCCGACACACCATTTTTTGTTAAACAATGTAAAAGTTGGCTTTTCCAACATTTGAGGAAATTAGCTTTGTTAGCATTCAACATTTAATGTAGAGAAATTAACAAGATAACATATGGCAGTCTAGACAAGATTTCTGTCAACGGTCAAAAACATAGAAAACAATTATATTTTGAATGAAAAGTAAATGCAAAGTGAGAACTCCTTATCTGTTGTTGAACACTCAACAGGGAGTATAAATATGCTCATTTAGATGCTAATTAGACAAATGAATGCTATTCATTCCCTTTTGTCCTCTGGGCGTACATGAGCTAGCACAATGATGCCTGACAAAAGTATGTCATCAGCCCAGATGCGCTCCATAACATCCTCATACCAGCCACAAGGAAAGAAGAAACGACTGAAGATGGGAAACTTTCACATCACTGAAATGAGTTTAATCAAAATTAAGTATGAGGAAAAATAAATTTAACAACAATTTATCAAATTCCCTTCTTTATTTCTAAGGCTCACAACTTAACAACGTAACACAAAATGTACGTGTTTAAATTTGCAAGCATAAGCATACATTAAGTGCTTCTATGGTCAGTTTTGTTTTTCAGGTCAGCAACTGTAATGGCTGAAGAACAGTTTGAATCTTGCTAAGCAAGTTAGCTCTAGCTAGTTAAATTGTTGATATGTTTAACTTTTAGCTACACGAATATATATTGTTTAAAAGCACAGATATTTGAAGGTAATTCTCTTGACCACTTTAGTATTGAGGCTTGTTACTGCCACAGTAACATAAAAATGCTAATGCTAAACACTAATGTTAAGTATGTTACGTAACACAAGGATTACTCATTGCCACATTAGCAAGCATTAGCATAAACTGCTGCTATGGTCAGTTTCTCTTTCAGGTCAGCTACTGGTGGAACAACAGTTTGAATCTTGTTGACCAAGTTAGCTAAAATCAGTTAAAATGTTGATATATTTAGCTTGTAGCTAGTTACCTGAATTATTCCTGAATGAAGTATATTAGCCTTACAGTTTGCACTAGATACTGGAAGCTAAAATTAAGTGCTTACTGACTCTATTAACACATGTGTCACTGCTTAGCACTTTTGAAAGTTGTGTGCATATTAGCTAACAGTAACAATAAGATGCAATTTTAAGATGTGGCACATCTTACTACACAAAATTGCACAGTTCTGAAATGTGTCAAAAAAACTAGGGTTGCCACCTTCAGCGAGGCAAAATAAGGGACACCCATTCACGACCCATAAAAAAAACAAAACAAAACAAAAAACCACGGACACAAATAATCAGTGAGGAACTCATAGCTCAACAATAAACCATGAGAAAACATGCTCAAGTATGTAAACTTAATCATAAATATATTTATGATTAATATCAATGATACATTAATAAATAGGGTCTAACATTAATTATAATATAATAATTCATCTGTCTAATCATGTCTACAAATATAATAATTATGTCTACCAAGCTCTGAAAAATGAATGGAATATTATATTAACAGACTATCCAAATTTTAATAAAACAATAGGCCTATACCTTTAAAAGCACGGATGTGACTGTCACATTAAAGGTAATGTTCACACAAAAATGAAGTTAGTCATAATTTACCCAGGTTGTTCTAAACCTTAACTAAAGTTAAGGTTGTTCTAAACCTTAACTAAACTAAAGTTCTTTCTTCTGTTGAACATAAAGAAGATACTTTGAAGAATGCGTCTCAAATAAACAGCTGCTGGTTTTAACTTCCCAGGTAAAAAAATAAAAATAAAAAATACTATCAGAGTCATTGGGGACCAGAAACTGTTTGGTTACCCACATTATTTAAAGTATCTTCTTTTATGTTCAACAGAAGAAAGAAATTATTACAGGTTTGGAACAACTTGTGGGTGTGTAAACGATGACAAAATTTTCATTTTTGGGTGAACTATCCCTTTAAGTCAGACAGTCCACCGTGAGCAACTGAAATGCTTCTCTGCAAACTGCGCGTTCATCATTAGTTACTGGACAGACACATTGATAACTTTCCCATTCAGCCCTACATCTGGAGAGTCTTGTGTTCAAAGGGCAGATGTGAGCTCTAGATGTTTTAAACCGCGGCGCGCAGGTTTAGCGCATGCTGCGCTCGTGTGAAAGGTCTTTAATGGCGCGCGTTCTGGAGACTCTGTCGCTATGGAAACAAAGACACCAAAATCACACACAAATGAACTTCTCTAATCCTTCTTATGAAATTGATTTAATTATAATTGCTATTACTATTATAAACAGTGCAAAATACTTATTTGTTTATTCAAATATGTGTTGGCCTTTGTAAAATACGGGACAAATCGCGTCCCGTATTGATTAGTTACCGGACGCATCATTTTACCTTTAAATATGGAACGATTCCGTATTTTAAGGGACGGGTGGCAACCCTAGTCAAAATGCAAGTCCTAATGCATCACGGTATGTGTTGCAACATTAGCGAGCATTAGCATGAATTAGCTGCTTCAACAGTCAGTTTTCTTCTAGCTGCATATTATCTAATGCAAACATTACTCAAAAATAGACATTTGTAACAATAATTTAAGTTAAATAAACAATTTTAAGTTGTACTTCACACTTAAAATGCAACAAGTACGTGAACCACATGAGCAAGGATTAGCATACTTAAATTGTAGGTACAAACTTCCACCTAACCTATTTTGTTTGGCTTGGTGTTTTTCTGAGATGTCAGGTGACCACTTTGTCATTCTGTGATTGGCTGATACAGTTAATGAGTTAATGAGAGATTGCACTGCTGACTTCAGCTGTAGTCCTCACCTAGCCGCCAGTCCACCCGGCCGCAGGTTGGAGACGCGAGGTTTGCCTTCCTTGTCTGTTCCGCCTGAGATGGTGAGACCTAAAGTGCTTCCCTCCTTCTTAATCAGCTCAACCAGTGTAACCCCACGCAGTTCTTCAGGCCAGAAACACAACATACAAAAACACACACAAAAGAGACAAAAGTCGGCAGCGTGTTATTATGACACTCAACCTTTATCACTCAGATGGTCTCAGATATTGCAGTGGATATGCAAATGAGCTGCATGTACTCCCATCTAACTAAAGATGAGAAATGTTTACGAATTCTCAATATTACGAATGCAAGAGTTTGTTTTATAATGTTACACCACAACTAACTTACACTAATCTTCAATTAATGCCGCGACTATATGAATTCTTAAACAGAAAATCCAAACCAAGAGGCACATGAAAGAAAACATCTATCACACACCAGTAGTGCAGCAGAAATTGTAATGCTACATTTTCCTCTGGAATCACGAAATCTCTCACAGAGTCTAATCTAATCACGCCAATGCCTGTGTGGGTTTAAATGTGAACAGATTGGAACTGGAATGTTATTCCAAAAGTCAAAATATAATGGACTGACTGCACGCAATCAGATCCGTCTTTTCAAATTATGATAATGATTTCTGAATTATAAGTTCTGAAAAAGCCTTAATCTGCCATTATATATATTTTAGTAACATTTTCTATCAAAGACTAGCTTCGGCTAATTTAATAATGATTATATGCAGTTAGCATTTTCATTGAATTTAAGTTTGGGGTCAATAAGATGTATGTATGTATGTATGTATGTATATGTATGCATGTATATGTATGTATGCATGTATATGTATGTATGTACAGTGGTTTGAAAAAGTGTTGGCCCCCTTCCTGATTTCTTATTTTTTTGCATGTTTGTCACACCTTAAATTTTTCAGATCATCAAACAAATTTAAATATTAGTCAAAGATAACACAAGTAAACACACATGCAGTTTTTAAATGAAGGTTTTTATTATTAAGGGAAAAAAAAAAAATCCAAAACTACATGGCCCTGTGTAAAGAAGTGTTTGTCCCCCTGTTAAAACTGTGGCTTATCACACCTGAGTTCAATTTCTCTAGCCACACCCAGGCCTGATTACTGCCACACCTGTTCGCAATCAAGAAATCTCTTAAATAGGACCTGCCTGACAAAGTGAAGTAGACCAAAAGATCCTCAAAAGCTAGACATCATGCCGAGATCCAAAGAAATTCAGAAACAAATGAGAAAGAAAGTAAATGAGATCTATCAGTCTGGAAAAGGTTATAAAGCCATTCAGGAAGGGGGCCAACACTTTTTCACACCACTGTATGTATATGTATGAACAGTATATGTATTTATTTATTTTATTAAATACATTTATTTAGCAAGGATACATCAAATTGACAAAAAAGTGAAAGTAAAGCCATTAATAATGATGTTACAAAAGATTTATATTTCAAATAATTGCTGTTATTTTAAACTTTGTATTTATAAAGTAATATATGTATGTATATAATTTATATAAGTATAAATTAAACTAATTTAGTATATAAATTATACTCTATATATTACAATTTTTCAAAATATATACACATATCCATATCTACACACACACATATCAAAATACAGATATAAAGTTAAAAATATACATAGAAATGCAGAAATAAAATTTCCTCTATAGCATTTGTTTTGTATGAAGACACATGTATGAAACGTTACAGTAGGTTTCATTTAAAAAAGGGGGAAAAAGCAAAAAAAAAAAAAGAGGTTAATGAAATTAACATTCAAAAGTCAAATGACCTTTGAAAATGTTTGTTCTGCTTTAAGACGTAATTTTGCAACTTTTCCAAACTCACACATTGAGTTGACTCAGCTAATCCAATTAGTGTTAAAGAAACAGGTCTTGGATCAGCAAACGCTTCCAGCTAGCAGAATGACCCAGACAGACACTTTTCAAGAACCACAAGAAACATCTGGATAAATCTGTAACAACACCCACATACCCCCAGTGTTCTCCATCTCAAACAGCCATCCAAACCAGTGTGGCAAGAAGAACTCAAACATCCCCAATGGGGAAAGACAGACACGATCCCTGAGATCAAGAGACGCTGAAGGAGCGAGAGGCTGCCTCTCATTTGGGAGAATTTGTGTGGGCACAAACAGAAGGCATTGGAAGGGAGTCAGGCATACCTGGGATGCTTTGTCTTCTGGATGTGAGCGAGTTGTCTGGCCCCGTCGAGTCTTTGTTCCCCTTAGAGTATGGCCCATCATCTGCAGGGTGAGAGACACGCTATCAATAAAATGACCTTAGAGAAAACAGTCCACCATAAATGCAACTGTGATAAATCATGTCAGCTGTAGTCAAAGAAAGTATGTTCTTTCATATAAAACACTACTGGTGAGTGAATCCCACAAAACCTGTCAAGAGATTGTCTGGGTTATATTTCACACACACACACACACACAAATAAATACAAATAAATACAAAATAAATAAACAAACAAACAAACAAAACATTTTATTTCTTGAAGGATGTTTATTTTTGGAACCATTATTTTTGCATTGTGAAAATCAATATTATACACATCTACACCCTATAATTTTTACTGTATATATTGCTTAAAGTAAATATGCTTATTTTTGGAAACATTAATTTTGCATTGTGAAAATTAATATAATGCACATTTACACACAATTTTTTTACTACATTAATAGAAAAACACATAATTAAATTTTAATAAATATATATTTTTTAAATGCATTGCCATTGTAAAACATAGCTTAAAATGTAAAGTGTGTATACATCATGTTAGTATTTGATGAACTGGCTTTAATTTGTGGTAATTTAAATAAAAATTGTGCCATAATACAATACACACACACATATATATATATATTACTTTGAAAAATAAATAGTAAAATAGTATTACTGTGAAATAATATAGTGCAATAGTAATGAATAAGGAGAATGTGCTGATATATTCCATTATTATTATTATTATTATTATTATTATTATTATTAAACTAACATAAAATAATATTTAAACTATAAATAAACTAATATACAATTTAATAATAAAAATATACAATATATAGTGTTACATGGCAATATATTATATATTGATAGACAGACAGACAGATAGATAGATAAATGTATATGTATTTTTAAAACAAATATAATATTAAATCTAAGACTAAATAATAATAAATATGAATCAATTATGCTATAGTTAATAATAAATAATAATCATAAAATATATTAGTGCATTCGCCTTATTTATACTGTATTATATTCTCTCTCTCTCTCTCTCTCTCTCTCTCTCTCTCTCTCTAGCATTAATTAACAAAAACATTAACATAAAAATATAGCAAAAACACATTTATTCATATTAAATAGAATGGGATTGTATTATCACCTCTGTGCTCATAGACAGATGAACTGTGTCTTTTTGACTGCTGAGAGTATTAGCATCCAGACACATGCTAATGAGGATTTGTCATCCATTGACAGTAATAATCACAGAAACACAATCATTCTTTACAGAGAACATTTGTGTGACAAATGTCTTTCGGATTGTTTTCTGTCAAGCCGAATGCCTGAGTGCACTTGCTTCATTTGGAGCGGATAAAATATTCATGAGCAGCATAGTTTTAATTTCTTCAAAGTTTCCAAATTAGGATTTTCCCCTTGTGCACTGGGCTCATCAGCACTATGCATCTCTGGAGCTTCCTTACGCTTGGCACAATTCACTTCATATTTTCACGCCAGCAGCACAAACACTATTAATGTATTCAGCCGAAAGAAGGTAACACCTGTTGCCGCCAATGTTATGATAATAATAAGCTCATAAACTTTCACTTGTTTTTCCTTTCAATCAAAGAAAAGTCTTTAAGGAATAAATCATCTAAACATGAAAAGTCTGCCGTTTACTCTCCCTCAAATGTCAATCCATTGACAATTATTTATAAACGGGAGACATAATAGTTTAGTAGTTCTTTAAAAACAAAACAACAACAAAATAAAGCAAAAATAAATAAATAAACAAACACAACAACAAAACACAAAATGGAACAAAAACACAAAATAACATACAAAATGAAACAACACAACACAACAAAAAACAAAACACATTAAAATTAAATGAAACAAAACCTAAATAAAACACACACACACACACACAAAACAAAATGAAATAAAATAAAACATAGACCCACACAAAAATATAAAAAAACAAAAAAATATAAAACATGTTTAGCAAAATATCTAAGTTGCTCTTTTACAAATAAAGTAGACAACGACTGGGGCTGTCAATCTCCACAAAGGACAAAATGTAGTATTATAGATAAATGTAGTGTTGTATCGTAAGGCTTAAGAAGACTTAAAGTATTGCGCAATTCACTCGATTTAGAACTTGGAACGTATATATATATATATACACTGAACAAAATTATAAACGCAACACTTTTGTTTTTGCCCCCATTTTTCATGAGCTGAACTCAAATATCTAAGACTTTTTCTATGTACACAAAAGGCCAATTCTCTCAAATATTGTTCACAAATCTGTCTAAATCTGTGTTAGTGAGCACTTCTCCTTTGCCGAGATAATCCATCAACCTCACAGGTGTGGCATATCAAGATGCTGATTAGACAGCATGATTATTGCACAGGTGTGCCTTAGGCTGGCCACAATAAAAGGCCACTCTAAAATGTGCAGTTTTATCACACAGCACAATGCCACAGATGTCACAAGTTTTGAGGGAGCGTGCAATTGGCATGCCGACTGCAGGAATGTCCACCAGAGCTGTTGCCCATGAATCTCTCTCTCTCTCTCTCTCTCTCTCTAGCATTAATTAACAAAAACATTAACATAAAAATATAGCAAAAACACATTTATTCATATTAAATAGAATGGGATTGTATTATCACCTCTGTGCTCATAGACAGATGAACTGTGTCTTTTTGACTGCTGAGAGTATTAGCATCCAGACACATGCTAATGAGGATTTGTCATCCATTGACAGTAATAATCACAGAAACACAATCATTCTTTACAGAGAACATTTGTGTGACAAATGTCTTTCGGATTGTTTTCTGTCAAGCCGAATGCCTGAGTGCACTTGCTTCATTTGGAGCGGATAAAATATTCATGAGCAGCATAGTTTTAATTTCTTCAAAGTTTCCAAATTAGGATTTTCCCCTTGTGCACTGGGCTCATCAGCACTATGCATCTCTGGAGCTTCCTTACGCTTGGCACAATTCACTTCATATTTTCACGCCAGCAGCACAAACACTATTAATGTATTCAGCCGAAAGAAGGTAACACCTGTTGCCGCCAATGTTATGATAATAATAAGCTCATAAACTTTCACTTGTTTTTCCTTTCAATCAAAGAAAAGTCTTTAAGGAATAAATCATCTAAACATGAAAAGTCTGCCGTTTACTCTCCCTCAAATGTCAATCCATTGACAATTATTTATAAACGGGAGACATAATAGTTTAGTAGTTCTTTAAAAACAAAACAACAAAAACAAAACAAACAACAACAACAACAAAATAAAGCAAAAATAAATAAATAAACAAACACAACAACAAAACACAAAATGGAACAAAAACACAAAATAACATACAAAATGAAACAACACAACACAACAAAAAACAAAACACATTAAAATTAAATGAAACAAAACCTAAATAAAACACACACACACACACACAAAACAAAATGAAATAAAATAAAACATAGACCCACACAAAAATATAAAAAAACAAAAAAATATAAAACATGTTTAGCAAAATATCTAAGTTGCTCTTTTACAAATAAAGTAGACAACGACTGGGGCTGTCAATCTCCACAAAGGACAAAATGTAGTATTATAGATAAATGTAGTGTTGTATCGTAAGGCTTAAGAAGACTTAAAGTATTGCGCAATTCACTCGATTTAGAACTTGGAACGTATATATATATATATACACTGAACAAAATTATAAACGCAACACTTTTGTTTTTGCCCCCATTTTTCATGAGCTGAACTCAAATATCTAAGACTTTTTCTATGTACACAAAAGGCCAATTCTCTCAAATATTGTTCACAAATCTGTCTAACTAAGTGTTAGTGAGCACTTCTCCTTTGCCAAGATAATCCATCCACCTCACAGGTGAGGCATATCAAGATGCTGATTAGACAGAATGATTATTGCACAGGTGTGCCTTAGGCTGCCCACAATAAAAGGCCACTCTAAAATGTGCAGTTTTTTATTTTTTTATATATGGAAAAGAGCAGCTTTAACATTCTACTAAACATCTCCTTTTGTGTTCCACTGAAGAAAGTCAGTCACTGGGTTTAGAATGACAAGAGGATGAGCAAATGATGATCAAACTTTCATTTTGGAGTGAAATATTTAATATTGGACAAACAGAAACTCTCATGAATGCATTACGATAAAGGGAACCTGTACTGAATGAAGGATCTGGCAGTAGGTAGGAGTGATGGCTCTAAGATACCATCATCTGACTGAGGTTATGCAGCGTGAGGCAGTAAGGGTTTGTCATCAGAAGATAAGAGTCTTCCAGCAGCAGCTACAAGGATATGTTCTTATTACTTGATAGCAAATATTTGCTTGTCCATAATACTACACATAGTGCAAGTTGATATGAAGGCAATACACTTCCTGTCTACTTTTCAACAGCTCATGATACTGATGTAACTACAACCCTCTTTTTTTCATAATGAAAACATTTTTAAAAACGTAAAGCAACCCATTAAGTAAATCCTTTATGCTATTTTGGCTTGTTAATGTTAAAATATACTTTTACATTTTCTGAATGTGTGTGGAGCAAAATGTCACTGTCACATGTTAAAGTGTGGTTTTAAGCAAGTTACATACGTGGTTGTTTAAAGGGTTTTACAGTGTTTCTCATCCGGGGGTAAGCACACCCCTAGTGGTTCACCATGTAATTCCAGGGGGTCCGTTGAATCATTACAAAAATGTTTAAGACATTTTTTTTTATTATCATAAACCGAAACGTTATTTTATTGTATATTGACACTAATATAATTTTCAAAACCAGTCAATTTTAGGTTAAAGTTCAAATACTGTAGAGAGAGAGAGAGAGAAAGAGAGAGAGAGAGAGAGAGAGAGAGAGAGCTGACAGCGGAATTGAGGCTGTGCGATTACCTGGGTCTGTCTTTCTTCAGGTCAAGTCATATAATCATGAAAAAATATCAGTTTGCCATCAGCTGTCAGAAGATGAAAGCGATATCTTTGTCGT